AAAAAAAAAAAAATAAAACAAAAAAAAGAAGAAAAAACAAAAAAAAGGAAAGAAAAATAAAAGAAAAAGAAAAAAGGAAAGAGAACAAGAAAGAGAAGAAAAAGGATGGAAACAAAAAAAAGAAAAGAAAAAAGAAAGGCGACGTCTAAAAGCGGAATGATTTCTGACCGAGACTGTACAACTTGCGGCAACACCACGAGAACACACAACCACTACTACCACTACAGGGTGACAACGTAGTTTCCCATGTTTTATGGTCAGTTCCGTGCGCCATGGTATCTGATTGCGTCATAAATCGAACGAGAAACCGGGCGAGGGTTCCAGCTCACGATACACGACCTACGAGATTTCGTTTTGCCGAAATTTAGCGAGCGTGGCCGTCTCGTCGTGAAAAGAATAAAGCTCTTGGTGATCTTATGAGAGAGAGAGAGAGAGAGAGAGAGAGAGAGAAATGATTTTCTCTCGCTTTAATCTTTTCTCTGCCAACGCGAGCAAACTTATCTCTCGTCTAATCGAAAATTCACTCGTTTTCTTTATTATCTTTCAGTTTCATTCTACGTTACTCTTTAAGACTAAATTAAGTTAACATGTCACATAGAAACGAAATACGTTAGTTACCTTTGTTATGTGCAAGCAAAGAAGAAGAAAGTTGTTGCAGTAAATTGCAGAAAAGATAGCAACACATTTGCGAAAAATATTGCTGACTATATGCCGTGCGTGTACACGTAAGTGATGCATTTGTAATCGTCTGCTCTCTCTCTCTCTCTCTCTCTCTCTTTCTCTTTCTTTTTCTCTTTCTTTTTTTCTCCCTCTATGTTAGTCTACCTTTTTTCTCTTCTTCTTCTTCTTTTTTCTTTATTTTTCTTTCTCAATATAAGTACCTATTAATATGAATCTTTTTCTCTCGTTTGTTCGCGCCTTTCGTTTTATATATATATATATATATATAAATATATAAAATATATATAAATATATAAAAAAAAAAAAAGGAAAAAGAAATGAGCTTGAAATGAAAAAATTGTATTACTTAGGTGTTTCATTCGTGGAAAGGAAAAAGGAGAAGGGGAAACGGTTAAAGAAAAAGAAAAAGAAGAAAAGAAAACGAAAAAGAAAAAAGGAGAAAAAGAAAAAGAAATATAAACAAGAAATCTGCGAGAAAATTTCAATTCAAAGCCATTCGAATTTATCGAAACGAAAGAACGAAAGTACAATGGTATTTCGTAAGCGGATCGCAACAAGTAAAGCTCAACTCGAGTTGGTTGTAACGGTATAAGCGGAATGGAATGGGACAGGACGGGGTTGGATTCTTTTTTGGGAGAGGGGGTGTGGGGCTGGCGAGGGTTTAGCGGGACGGGGGTGGTTAGCGTTACGGTTTTCCGTAGAAACGTGGTTGCATTTCGCGGTAACAATCGGAGCGGAAAAATCGCGCGTTGTCGCGTGCTCTGAGCTACGAGACTCTGAGCTCTCGCTCACGCAATGCTCCGAGGCAAAAGTAGGCTTGACGGGTAACAGTTGTTCCATTAAAACGATTTGGTGCTCGAGTAGCAGTCGGGTGACTCAGCGGCTCGGGCGGCTCTCTTTCGTACTGGAGAGCACTCGGGAGTTCTCGCTCCGTGTAATTAATTCGCCGTGAAATGCTACATTAATTCGTAATGGGCCATGTGTCGTGTGAATGCCAGGTACCCTGTTCGCTTACAAGTGCTCCGTATCAAAGCACAAGCGAGATTACGTTTTGTACATAGTATATATATATATATATATATATATATATATATATATATATATACCTATATATACTTATCGTTAATACACATACATCCAGCCGACGCATTAATTATTTTTTTTCTTCATTTACCTACTTGGTACCTAGTACGTGAATGCATGCATGCATAGAAACGCGTTTTGAACTCTCCTTGAATACTCTCGTAAATTCGTAACATAGAGCATGATCCAGTTAAAACCATCGAATGAATGATCGACAAACAGGTATGTATGTAATTGCTCTTAACGATCCGATTAATCGTCCTACATGAGAACGTCGTACGAAACGACAATGGACTCGATTATTTCTCTTCGCTTTGTTCATTTTCTTTCCCCTTTTTTTTCTCTTTCTTTTTCTTTTTATCCATTTTTTCTTTTTTTCTTGTTTCTTTTCCCTAGCCCTTCCCAATTCCAAGCGAGTTTAGGAATATTTTACGAGTTACCCGGTAATCGATCGTATCTATCTGCGTGAAAGAAATAGAGGTAACTACTCTTGAAGAGTTGGAGGGGGAAAAAAAAAATAGAAAAGTTTGAGCGGTTTCTGAGCGAAAGAGTAAAGAGGAGAACCACGTGGTTACATCTCCGCCATCTAATCACGGATTTTTCTTTTTTTTCTTTTTTTTTTTTTTTTTGCGTCCTCGCTAGAACCTCCTCTACTGGAACTCTCGGTTAGACCGGAACGAATAAAGTTTCTTTTCACCCCAACGAGAAACGAGTGCACGTGTATATGTATATGTATATGCATGTGTATTTGTATTTGTGTGTGTGTATGTGCGTGTATACGTGTGCGTAGATGAAACGCACGAGTAAAGGCACGAGCGACGTTGGAAACGATCGCGAAGGTTCCGATCTCGAAGTTCGAAACGAGAGACACGTCCTTCCCGTTTTCCTTTACTTTTTTCTTTCTTCTTCTCTTTTTTTTTTTTTTTATTTTTTTCTTTTTTCTTACTTTTTTCCATCCGGTAATTTTCTTCGGCAACCCTCCAAAGAAGAAAACTTTCACCTTCATCGAATGGCCGATGAGTTTAGGGTAGAAGTAAGGTCTTAGTAATGGTCACCATCGTCGTCGGCAATGCATCTAGAAAAAGAAAAAAGTAAAAAACAAGATAAGAAAAAAACGAAAAGAGGAATTAAAAAAAAAAATACAATGAAAGGGAGAAAAAAAAAGAAAAAAAAGAAAAAAAAGAAAAAAAAGAAAAAAAGAAAAATATAGAACGAACTGTCGTACGTGACGCGACATTTTTACGAACGAATCGAACCAAATGCCAATGTCTTTTGCGGTTTTCCTTTCTCGCTTTTCTCCTCGATATTCCATTTCGATCGTCGTCGTTCTCACGGGAATTCTTCTCTCATACAGGATAGTCCCTACGTGAGGCGTATGTATATGTACACTACGTACGAAAGGCACAGAGCGCTTATTCGCTCCACTCGAACCGGTTACGACTCTCTCAGGTCGAAGGTCGCAACGGAGTACTCCTCCTCTATCCTCCTCCTTCTTTTCCTCCTCCTTCTTATTCTCCTCCTTTACCTCCTCTTTCTCCACCTCTTCGTCCTCTTTGAGATCCGATGAGGGCATTGGGATCGTAGATTCTCGGAGTAGGTCGGTCCTGGTTTATCATTATTACGATTTTACGAGTAGATATTTATCGTCGATGGATCAAAAGTCGCGATACATCGATGCACTGCGACTTCTCCATCGATCGTAAATTAAGTACTTACTTACTCCCTCTCTGTTTTTACGAGAACAATGCGTGTGGGAATTACTCGAGAACTTGAGAAGAAATAATTTCTTGAAAGGTAAATCTCCCTCTCTCTTTCTCTGTTTCTCTTTCTCTCTCATTCTCTTTATATCTATTTCTTTCTTCAGCTAGCAACCCTATCGATTACAATAGTCCATACTTTTGGTAACGATTTTCAACTTGGTTACCTTTTTCCAATGGTACGTTTCGCACGTGCCGTTCGATTCGTCTCTAACGAGTCGTGTTAAGCCAACGAACGAACAACCGTAATTCGGCATATCCCTAATGGATTCATTCTGGACAAGCTAATTGTGAAGGTTCACCAATGTGGAAACATCGGCTTGGCTTCGTTCTATTCATTAGATACATATATTGATCATTAACTCCGTTAGAACGAATCGAAATTTTGAATATATTTTTTTTCTTCTCTCTCTCTCTCTCTCTCTCTTTCTTTATATATATATATAATGATCACACTTTATATAGATTATTTAAAATTTTTTTTATTTAAATAATGTTAATAAATGTGATTACATCAGAGGTCGAGTGACTAAACTTATAAACTTAATACCCTTCACTCAAGGATAACCTCCCTTTCGTTTAGTTTTGATGGGCCAGCTCGTCTCGAGCTTTACGCATTTTCCGATCGAGAAAGAGGGACGAGAAGTTTGACGAGAACTTTCCAAGAACGTTGTCAACGAATTACACGAAATTTTTTTTTGTTTTCTTTTTTTTTTTTTTGTTTTCTTTTTTTTTTATCGGGAAACAGATTTCACGGTCTGCCTGAGACGTTCGGAACTTTGGAGACATCGTGGAAGATGAGACGAAAGAGGAAATGTCTGCGTGAAGCAGGAGAAGTCGGTGAAGCTGCGACGACGAAACGTTAAGAAGCATCAGAAGATAAGTTATAAAGACGATGATGTGCGTTAAGAGATAGTTAGATAGATAGTTAGATAGATAGATAGATAGATAGATAGATAGATAGAGAAAGAGAAAGGGGGAGAAGAATAAGACCGTAGGGCAAAGTTTCTCTTAATCACTATGCCGCGTGGCTTGGCAATCGAGGCGTGAACGTGAGATATGAATTAAAGGGAGAACTTTGCTTTGGTTCTCTTTCGCAAACGAATTCCGAAGGGATGGTAAAAGCAAAAAGGACGCTCCTCTCTTTATCGAGAGAGAGTGTGAGAGAGAGAGAGAAAGAGAGAATAAGAAAAAGTTCTCGTCGAAAGAAGAAAACGAGGAAGAACTTTATTACATCGATACGACTTTCTTCAAGGGCTAATAACATAAGTACGTTAAGCAATGTAATAATTTAGGCTTAACGACCGAGAAAAATATTAGAGGAGTACGATGTTATTCTGATACATGGGCAACGTCGACGATTTTAAGTGTCGTCGTTGTCGTTGTCGGTATATACGTTTGAAGATTTAATCAACCGAGTCGAATGAAATAATATATGTAATTGGTTAAATCGCGTTCGAAATATTTCTCAATGTATTTCATTCATAAATAAATATCTATATAAAATGTGACATTAAGAAAACCTTATTATTTATCGTTCAATGTGTCCTTCGAAATGATTTTAGAAATACAAGTCAAGCATTCTATTTACTTTCTAAGAACTCGTGTTATTGATAGTTTAGTATATCTTATGAAATAATTTCGAAACAACTCAGTCTACTGTTTACTTTCGAATAGGACGAACGTGCCATCGAAAGCCGGAAAGAATATTTTGTTGTGTTATCATTCATTTAATAATTCTTATCTTTCCTTTAGAACCATCGATACGATATTTCGTTAATTTCATTAATACGTTATGCATATTCGTAATAATTTTTATAATTTACGATAAATATTAAGAGTATCGTGTTCTATATTATAATCGCTACGTTTTCCTCGTAGCAAGGTGAGCTATCCAATCAGGGAGGCAATGTAACAAGCCAGTTACGGATAGTCAAGCGTTGCAATTACATACGTCGCGTTGCGGATACAATGGAAATTCGCCAGACTGTTTGAAATTCGAATTACCACATGGGTATCTTGACGTGGGCATTTCCAACATCGACTGGTATCGTCGTTCGTGTATTGGATAAAGACCAGAATGTAGAGAACATACGCGGCATTTACGTCCAACAATTTTCGAAACACGGATTTCTAGACAATTCTATTGCGCAGGAGTTGCACGTGAAAGCGATATATATATATATATATATATACGCTTAGACAAATTGGTTAATGGTTACGAGTAAATTTAGAAAAGCAAAGAGAGAGAGACAACCAAATCCCTTTCCTTTTCTCTTTCTCCTTTCTTTTTCTTTTCTTTTTTTTTTTTCTTTTTTTTTCCTTCGTAAAAAATCGTAAAAATCCTTCTTATGAATATGACGAAAGATCTTTAAGTCTAGGTAAAAAAAAAAAATAATGGACGAACGCTAAACTGCGATCGTTATTTTTCGTATTTTAAAACGTAACGTTTGCGTGTGATAACGAAAGAAAAAGAAAATCCACTTTAAAGGAAAATAATCGTCATGTGAATTACATTGAATAATTTTTACGAGAGATCACATTGTATCTCGTACTCGTAACTCTAGTACGAGATTCTCGTTCGTTTCTCTTTTTTTTCTTTTTTATTTTCTTTTTTTTTTTTTGTAATGAACAATAAAAAATATCTTAAGAAACAGATTTAAAATCAGATAGAAGACGCGTGAATAGAGACACCCCATTCGAAGTTCATATCTTCAATGATCCATCCCCCCCCCCATCCGATCAAGATTCATCGTGAAGCTGTTGTAAAATCGGTATTGGTGTTATAAAACGAAGATTCGTTGAGCCAACGACAGACGAAATTTTGACGGCCGTGAGGGGGAAATAGAGTCAACTCGTGGCTGGCGCCATCGACGGAAACTGCTCTGTTTATATCGGCAATTAACAAGTTTGAACGGGTAAGTCGAGTTCGAACGTTGGCTCCAGTCATCCCCGCAACCCTTCCCCACCCCTACCCACCCCCCTTATCCCTACTCTCCCTCCTATCCCTACCCTCATTCGGTCCTTCCATTTCGAACGACAATCGCGCGATAGATTCTGTTGATTATGATTTAGGAAATTTCGCAATAGCCCGACCACGATGGTGGTAATGTAATCACGTTCCATTCGAATTTTCCTCATTTCCCAACGATGAAAGCTATGAAATCGACGAAGGGACATTTTAAAGCGGCCGGTTGAAGAGCGTAATTTAGTGACGGGACATATACGCTTGTAAATAAAGCGTCGCTGTCGGTCCAACTCTCCTATACCTTTGATCGTTTACCAATCCCTATAGTTTCCATCAAATATTCCGTTCCCCCATTGTCCCGCACTCGAACTTAATTAAAAGGGATACCACGAAGAGTGATTTTAATTTTCGTCAGTATGACTACTAAGGGTCTATCACACGTACGAATTTAATCGTAAATATTGACTCCCAATTCGATCTTACGATGATTTGCATTTTTCTCTTTCTTTTTGTTTTTGACCTTTTTCTATTTCTTTTTTTTTTTTCTTTTTTCTTTTTCCATTTCTTTTTTTCTTATCTTACTCACCGATATTAGGTTAATCATAAGGATTATAATATTTTATTTTGCGTTCCTTCCACCCGACCATTTTTCTTTTTCATCCTCATCTTTGGGCTGAATCGTCCAAAAAGCTTTTTCCTTTCTCGAAAAAAAAGCTTCGACCGCATTAACGTAGTCGGTGAACATAATTGCTCGTCGGATCGTTCACGCGAAAACCTTTTTGATATGCTCGCCTCTCTTGATTGCGAATGTGATTTTCTCTGGAAAGCAAATTACAGATTAAGTTCGTCACGTGGAATAAAGAAGAGAGAGAGAGAGAGAGAGAGAGAGAGAGAGAGATAAAGAACGAGAGAAACAAGACTACCTACGTTGTCACGAGTGAAATTTGTTTGCCCTTCCGTCCGAAGGTCCGGTCTTAAAGAGATTATCCCTACGAAGTAATAGTAAATAGTTCAGACAATTCAATTAGATAATCATTACTTGAAAATCGATTAATGAAAAATATTTAATGAAGGAATAAATTTTTCTTCTTTCTCTTCCTTACTTTTTTCTTTTTTTTTTTTTTTTTTTTTCTTTTTTTTACTCGACTGACAATCGTGAACTTGTAATAATGACAAAAGAAAGAACAAAAAAAAAAAAAAAGAAAAGCCGAAAAAGAAGAAGAAAAAAAGAAAGAAAGAAAAAGAAAAAAATCGTAAGATCCTAAAGAATGATACTCTATGCTCATACATACGTATGAGATCACATAACTTCTCTCATAAACGTAGCTTGCTCCAGTATCTACCAACTCGGTGATCGCAGTTACTCGTGGTCACTTTCAAAGTGTTACACCATTTTCCGGTATTACTTGGTAAGAGAACGTTGCGGTAATTTCCCATCTCTGGAAAGACACTTCCGAAAGTCATTTTCTAGAAGTAAGTTCGAGTTACTGTAAGTAAGGTTACACGATAAAAGGTACCCTTACGTACATACGTACCATATGTAGCGTACTTCATACGACATATATAAATTTCTTAGTTCGTTCGAAATTACTCGTACGATCGTGTAATCGTGTGATTTTGATTTTATTTTCTTTCTCCTTTTATTTTCATTTTTTTTTTGTCTCGAATTCGACGAATATTTCATCTTCGACGTACATACAATATCGTTCTATCTGAGATAATATTAAGAGTTATAAACGTAGAATTTAGAACGAGGATTAGAAGGTCGTTGTAAATGTGGGATTTTGAAAAACGAAAAACAAAAGAATTGTTAACGTTCGTGGAAAACATGGGAAAGTGGAATTGTAATAAGGTTTAAGGGTGCACGACAACCAACCCAAAAGATAAGCAGATAAATACCTCGAGTGTTGCTACCGTTGGAAGTCTAGGAAGTTTATCGTCCCTAGCTCTAGTAAGTAGTTACGTGCGTACGTGCAACATACATATGCATGTATACGTTAGAAATGTATGTATATACATATATATATATATATATATATATATATATATATATATATATATTTTAGATAACGCAGGCCAGATGCACGGTACACGGTACAATGTTGCTCCTGCCAGGATAGGAGATCTTACGTCCCACGTGTATGATAGTCAGGAACGCGGGCGTTAATGAAACCTGTCGCGTTCGCACGCGAATTTACGCCAGGTGTAGTTTACGCCAATTTACGAGAAGGTCGAAGTCCTTTCAGGTCGAGACCACGTACGAGCTCAAATTCCTTCCTTCCTTCCTTCCTTTCGTCTTACTTATTCCCTCGTGTAAGCTCTATAACGTTTATTACGATATTTCTGTAAATTGTTCACTCGGCATTTTCCTGACGTTTAAAAAAGTTCAAGTAGGCGTGCGAGTAAATTTTCAAATTGAAATCTTATCCCGGCAAAATAAAAAATATATACTCGCGAATTCATATGCATTATATTTATTATTCGATTTCGTTCGAGAAGTATACCTACATTTATTGATTTATTTATTTATTTATTTATTTATTCATTCATTCATTCATACTTTCTTCTCCTTTTATTTTTCAATTTTTTTCTTTTTTATTATTATTTTTCCTTTTCTCCTCTTTTTTAAAAATATCGCGAAAGGATGAGAGGACTAGAGAGATCGATGAAAAAAATTTGTGAGATAAATTGGGAAAGGTCGAACGAAGGTGCAAGAGAATTTTTCGTTCGAGTAGAGGGTGCATCGTAGCAAGGGGCGAGTTAAAGTCGCCCGCGGCTCTTTCTTCCGCGATCGCATCAACGCCGTTACGTCGGCAATACGTCGGTACGGTGAAGCCGTCCTTCGATTTCCATGACAACGGATGCGGGCTTGAATGCACGTCGTTTAGGAACGATCGACAGGCCTCTGGTCTCACACCATTGCTCTCTCTCTCTCTCTCTCTCTCTTTCTCTCTCTCTCTCTCTCTCTTCCTCCATATTCAACGAGTGAAATTCCTGGTCTCTCCGTCACAACGACGATCCATCGTCGGCTCCTTAACGTCGATCGACGAAGTACCCCGTGCCAGGACCCAGAAGCGGCTTTGTTGCAACGACAATGGCTTTCCCGCTTTTTTTCACTTTCTCTCTCTCTCTCTCTCTCTCTCTCTCTCTCTCTTTCCATTTCACCCTCTCATTTCTCTTTTTCTTTTCGCATAGGCACGAATTATTCCGTACATCCGAGAAAAACGATTGCCGACGTCGATATAAAAGTCCTTCGAAAATATATGAGGAATTTAATTAGAAGGAAAGTTGAACGTCGAACGGAGATGATAATTCTCGTATAATCGGTGTATCTCGAATATGACGATGACGATGAAAATGACGATGGTACATTAAAAAATTCATAGATATAATATTAAATTGAAATGAAAGATAATAATTTGCTATCGTTATAAGCATATCATAGGAAACAATAGAGAAAAATCTATTTCTTTGTCGTAAAGTATTCTCTTTTCTATTATAGAAAGAAAATCTTCGATGATTTTATTTTTCCCGAAGGAACACGGGGGTGGGAATTGAGAGGCGGAGAAGGGCTCTATGATTATGCGAACGGACAACAATGAAAAAGGATATAATAAAGGTAAGACAGATTTTCCCCCGAAGTAATAATCCGACTTTCCGAGATAATTTAACGAGTTTGGTCTCTAAGGTAATAATCTAATCCTATTATCGTACAAACTACATGGAGCCTGTCGTCTCGACGCGATTCCACGCGATAATTCCATTTCGCACACCCACTCGTACTCTCGTATCCGCGAGCGTACTTACGAATTTATTATCCGTACAGTTTAATAAATGTGCGTCCGAGAGCATAGGTATTAGTCGAATAACATAATCCAACGATGTATCTTATATCTCGATGAAGGTTTTCATGATAATTAGTGGTACATTGACTTATCTAACGAACGGATTAGATTTAGTCACGTGAATTGTTGAATTAAAGGGAAATCAAATTTATTTCATTTCATTTTCGTTTCGCCTTTTTTTTTAAGATCGTAAGCTCGTCGAAAATTATATCAAATGGTTTATTTCTTTTTTTTTTTTTTTTTTCCTTTTTTCTTATTTCCCATACTTCCGAAAGCTTCCTCGTGACAACAGCATTCCTCCTTCTTTTTCTATTCTCTCTTATTTTTTTTTTCTTTTTTCTTTTTTTTTTTTCTTTTGTCGAAAAAAAAGAACCACCCACAGGACAGCGCAAACACAGTCGTTTCGTTACATTATTCCAAGAACTTTATTCCCGCGTAAAAAGGAATGTTTTACCATAGGAATTTTCTCAAAGAAGAGTCGACGAAGTTGCAACGGGTGTTCCATTTATCGACGATCCTTGTCAGCCTTAACCACGGTGGCCGTGAGAGTCAAAGATATTCTTGGATCTTTCTCGTGGAGCAAGTACAACACGTAAAACGAAAACACATGCGATGCCACGCGAGATGCGATGCTATCGTTCTTCTCTCCTTGTACTTTTCTTCTTCTTCTTCTTCTTCTTCTTCTTATTCTTCTTTTTCTTCTGTTTCTATTTCATCCTCTTTTTCTTTCCTCTTCTTCTTTGGCGCCACGCGCGTGGACTTCTATGGTCGGGTCTTAACGGAAGTTTGCTGCGGGAACTTTAATTCAAACCACACGAGGATGAACTCAAAAGACGTTTCTGTGTAATGCCACCCTGCGTGTAAAATCGTTTTCGTAAGTTTTCACTTTCTCTCTCTCTCTCTCTCTCTCTCTTTCTTCCCTTTCAATATTTTCTTCTTCCTCCTTTCTCGTAATTTCCGTTTCAAAGATTCATGCACGGACGCGTAATTGAAGACACTCCTCGAAAGAGGATACGAGGAAGCTCAGAGCTCATTTTTCACGAACCGTCTTTGCTTAAGGATGGGATCAGTGAAAAGCTTGTTCGTAGAGAGGAAGAATTATCTGCGCCGGTACATCGCCATAACCTCGACACGCGATCAAATTATATCAAGAACAAGGATTCCCTCGTTACCAGGAACCGAGTTATCTAATATCTCGAAAATTAGGAACAGCTTCGCATTATTTTTTCTTCTTCCTTTCTTTTTTTTTTTCCTTCTTTTTTATTCTTTTCTCTATGAGTTTGAGAAAGATTTCAAGGATCATCGATATCGCGTCTGCATTAATCAAAAATATCCAAATGTCAAATGTGACATTGGCGGAATCCTATGATAGATAAATTGGATAATTGATTGAATGTGGTTCGTTAATGCGATTCTTAAATCACGATCATGAACAATGAGATCAATCGAGAGAAAAAGTGGCCGCTCGTGGCGGCAAATATAAATCACGGGTATCGGAAACAATGCGACGAGTAAAAGAGTAGAAACGTAAAGAGTAAAGGAATTCATCGCCCATCGACCTTTCGATATATTCACCCAGTCCCTTATTCTCTCTTTCTCTCTCTCTCTCTCTCTCTCTCTCTCTCTCTCTTCAAATACTCTATCCACCTCTATCCTCACCTCCTCCTTCTATTCACCTTCTACCATCCAATTTCTTTTTCTCTCTCGTTTCTACGTTCAAACGAGAAAGAAGAGAGAAATAGCGTACGATCAATTTTGGCATGCCGATAAAAAGCGCGTGCCACTATCGCCATAGCTTTGTTGCGATTTGACTCGCGAGAAAAATGTTACCCTCCGGTCGTACGATACACGAAGAAGGAGGAGAAGAATAGACGAAAAGGAGAAGGAAAAGGAGAAAGAGAGAGAGAGAGAGAGAGAGAGAGAGACAGAGAGAGAGAGTAGAAGGAGGATAAGGAGGAGAATAGTCAGAAAAATATTCTGCTTTATACCATTCTCAATGCATCGCAGTTGTGTCTCACATCGATTTATTTCTTCGTTTAGAATCAGCTACACATCTTGTGCATATACACACACACACACACACATGTATATATATATATATATGTATATGTATGTATGT